AAATGTTACTTTTAATAATCATATAATATTATTAGGAGTGGACATATAACCATCCATTAATATTTCAGGAATATTATTTAATATTATATAATTTTAGTAAAATATTATTAAAATGTTATATTTAATATTCTGAGAATATGCCTAAAATATTATTTAATATTAAATAATATTATGCGCTTATAGGGATATGACATATAATAAAAAAAAAAAAAAAATGTGATAAAAATAAACTGATATCAGAAACAATTAAGAAACGAATAAATATTACGAAATATAAAAAGAGATATTAGAGTTAAAAAATAAGACCTATATGCGTACCTAGATGGAATACAAAATCACAATAAGATCATAAGACATTCTAGCAAAAATATATATTAACATAAATTAAATTATTAAATAATAAATATAGAATAAATGAAATATGAATTGTAAAATGTAAACCAAAATTTAAAGCACAAACACTTAAAAATTATATTAATCAAATTATTATATACGTCTTTCATTATAATCATTTTTTATGTAAAACCAGAGATTATCGAAAATCAGTAACACTCAAATCTCTATTAATTCTCATTAATCTATTAATTAAATCTAATCGATTCAATTATTTTACATATTCTCAAATCAAGGGGGACATATCCTTAAACAACCTGTCTTAAATAATAATTCAGTAAAATATTCAATTTTAATGCTACAACTAGTTTATATAATTTAAAAAAAACACGTCAAAATTATTATGCTCCATGATGCAATTTTGTAGCATAACGAAATGACGCTCTCACGTCCATCGTGAATCATCGTTACAATACGATCACGTGTTACCATCTGTCAAAATAGGCAGACTCACTTAGAAATGGCGGCACGCCGACCAATTTCCGCCGTTCGAATTCGTTGAACAAAAAGACTTTTTCCCGTCCTGAAATCATCATGTTTCTGAGCAAAACCCTTTTCCTCGGACATATTCGAATCTTGTCATGAAATCAATAAAAAAAAAAACGAAAGAAACAGTATAGAAATAAATAGAATGATGATGGAAGAATCGAGAATAGCGATTCTACAGCGTTCCGAGGAGTCATCGGAAGACGCTTACGACATCTAGACGCGTATTGGCGTATATTACGAGAGTTATCGATCGCATATAAAAGCAATCGGTCGCGGCGTCTCCTCCACAAGTGATGTGCAAATTTTGACGGAGTTGGTTGAACAAGAGGAAGAAAAGCGATAGCATATCGATATTTCGGACGTCTCCCGCTAGAACGTTTCTTTACACTTTGACGATTTAACATTCGTGAAATGGACATGACGACGAACAAGCTGAGTTTCAAGGTGTACCTGGTGAACGAGGATCCGTGGACCTGCACGGAAGTGCGCAGATTCGGCATTGACGCCGATGTCGCGACGAATTTCGTGTATCTGCGCGAGAAGCTGCAGAACATCTTTCCAGATCTACGAGGCAAGAGATTCAATGTCACTTGGAAAGGTAAGTTCTTTGTTGTTTCTCTTTTTTTTTTTCTCGTCTTGTCGAGGAATTCAACAGCGAGGCTCGCTGACGTCAATAATGATGTTGTTTATCAAAGGTTTTGTACACCGAGTGCTTTCCATTTAGTGACACATTTTATTCTTCTTGCCATTTAAAGAATAACAAAAATAAAACAACACATATGTTAACTCGTAGAATCAAATGGAAAGCATTCTATATGAATGTAGCACAAAAGCATCTGGTATACTAATTGCAACTATTCCACTTATCCTTTATATTAATAGATGATGAAAATGAAACTATTACCATATCCACCGACGAGGAATTGGAGATCGCATTGCATGAGATGGCTAAGAATATGATCTGTAAGCTGTATATCCTGCCGCAATCAGAGCGAGAAACAATAGACATGTCAAAGATAGAAAAAATACAACATCTTGGCGTAATATGTGATGTGTGTGATAAGGATATATGTGGTTTTCGTTTCAAATGCATGCAATGTCCAGATTATGACTTATGCACTGACTGCATGACGCTCGGCAATCATGCAGAGCATTACATGGTCCGTATGACTCAACCAATCGAGTGGTCAAGCTATCACGGCCGTCGTCTTGCTTATCATGTACGCAAGTTCGTGAAAAAGGCGGCGCATCACTGCAAAGAAAATGAGCGCAAGTGCCCTCATAAGAACAAGAACAAGAGAAGCAGCTGTCCAGTGTTCAACGCAGATGGTAAATTTGATCTTATTGATCCATCTATTATAAACTCATTGGAGAATTTTATAATAGACATTTGTGCTGGTCCGTCAGACGATAATCACGAGCGGAAGCGGAGTAAGGAGCAGTACAGGGAACCATCTGCTGAGGCTGCAACTGAGGCAACAGAAGACTCGCAGCAAGAAGCAACCAGGCACTCCTTTTCGCAGCTGCTAAAGATCGTCGAGGACAACATTTCCAACATTTCACAATTTCTAGATCCACTCGGCATCAACGTCACCGTGATGGCTGACAATGACTCCTCTAATAAAAAATCTGCAGACAGCACTCAGAAGACTAACACACAAAAGCCTGAGGCCCGTGCATCTACATTTTCAAAGGACTCCGTCAAGAAGTTCCCTGGTGAAGGAAAGAAACTACGTGACGATCCAGTAAGTACCGCAGCTGCTCCTTTGGATAATGCACAAAAGGATTCAGCAACAGCTGCAACAGCACCTCCAACTACATCAACAACAGCAATCTCTGCTGAACAAGCAGCTGAAGCCGAGGAATGGACGATGATACAACGTGAAAGCCCCATTATCAGCCGCACTTCTTCCACTTCTTCCACTTCTTCCTCGAATGGAACTTTGCCTAAGCAGGTATATTTCGCATACCATATGCAAAATAAACAGTAAGTGATTAGAACATACAGTTACTGAAATATAATTAAAAGTTATAAGGATATTTAAAATATATATAATCATAAATATTCTAGATACAATTACATAATATTAGAATATTAAGATATAATTAATAAATGTGTGATAATTTAACATATATATATATTACAAAAAATAGTTCAGAATTTGAAAAACTGATAAAAAACTTACAAATCACTTGCTTTATTAACACTAAAAATCGCTCCTAATTCTAATAGCATTGGTTTTTCAATTTATTCAATTTAATGAGTGCAATTATTATGTGTCTAGTATTAATGGTTACTTTACAAATTCTAAATTCTCTTTATTGCGCAAATGTATGTATCACATGTTCAGAATACCTTATCTTACAGACTACACCATCCGCGCCGACAGCACCTGTGGCAGAACCGGAAAAATCATCGTCAAATCCGAAAATCTACCCATCCTTATCTGAAGAAATAAGACACGAATTGTTTCATCCAAATCCCAAGATTCAGCACGCCATAGAAGCGATGATGGCAATGGGATTCACCAACGAGGGTTCATGGCTTACCCATCTATTAGTTGCACAAAATGGTGACATCGACAAGGCGCTGGATGTAATACATCCGGTACGCCGTTATTAGGAGGGATGGGGCTAAAATTTTAGTTAACGATAGTTTACATATAATTAATGACAAAAATAACAGTTAACATAGTCTATGCTTTCCATGGTACGACAGTTCGTAATTATTATTCATTATATAACATCTATTTTTTATGTTGTTGAATTTATTCTGCATACACTATGATTGTTTTTAAAAATTTGAGTAGTACACAACGCTGAAAACTTATTTTTAATAGATTATCTCGATATCGCATCTGTATTGTTAATCGCCTGGAAAATGAAAAATCCGAATTCAATTCCCGGTCCAGAGACAATTGCGCTTAATGACTCTTTCGTCCAAAATGTTACTTGTATTGTTACTAAATTTATGTTACACATATGTACTACGCTATTATTTCAAAAAATGTACTACAATATTCGTTTATGCAATGTATGTTATACCTATATTCTTAGTATATTAATATACCTTTAACATAAAAAACTAAAATATCTTTGGTGACTGGAATATTATGTACTATTATGTTTTATTTTAATAAAGTAACCATGATATTAAAGGTAAATGTTTTTTTTATTTTAAATTTAAATCTATTAATTAAAAAAAAATCAACTTTTTTTAGAGTTGAAAGTAATATTTATAAAAACCGAAATGCTAAAAGCTTTAAAATTTTTATTATATAAATATTTCAATGTTCAATTACTTTTATAAGAATTTACATTGGTCCATTAAGACCAGCGGATTTTTATTAGTAATTAATTCTAATTCTCTTTGACCGCTAGGTGTTATGTTCCTGATCCATTTGCGATCCTTATAATATTCTATCATGCTGTCAAATTCCGTGGTGTTGTAGTCATCAACTGCAATAGGAACAAAAGGATCTAGATGCTCGAAGCCTTCTTTGCCAAGCAAATATCTGGGAAGATAGGAGTCTCGTTTTTCCTAAAAATAAAAGATTTTTTCTTGTATTATCATGCATTTATTCGTTTAATGCTAAAGATTTTCCTGAATTTTAATTTAAATATGAAACAATAATGCTTCCTTTTTCGCAAATCCAACTATCTATTAAATTGAATTTTATTCGGATAAAGGAGAGAGAGAGAGAGAGAGAGAGAGAGAGAGAGAGAGAGAGAGAGAGAATGTCTAATTACGCAATATAAATGTACCTTATTTGCCTTTTCGTCTACTGATAGTACAATTGCACCATTACACCAATCATCTTTTGTTATATCCCAAAACGGCAACGCCAGCGACACTTGTTTGGGCAGAACCATCATCTTGTTATCGTCGAAGATACGCGTGTGATTCGATGTAAATGCATTGAATCCGTCTATCATGACCATTGTCTTGCACTTCCCTGCAGTACTGGCGAGCTTTATGTCTTTTATCAACGCGTCCACCACGCCACAAGCGTACTTCATGCGATGTATGCCAAAGTCGATAAGTTCTAAGATGGGAGTACCTTGGGAAGTAGTTTCGCGTTGATTCCAAATATATTCCTTGGTTACTTTGAGCTGTAAAACAAGCGTATGTTAGATATAGCCGGCAAAATGATATTTCAGGAGATACATACATCTAATTGTGAAAGTAACTCTGAGTTTTGAGTTTTGAACTGTTTCAACCAAATCCCAGCGTCGATAGGCAGATCCATGCATCCTGGAGAGAGTATCGAAGTTGCAACTTCCTTCATATACTTGAACCATAGCGGACCTGAGAAACAAATGGCATTTAGTACAGTTTAATGAGATAAAATCGTAAATCATTTACATAAAAAACAACATACCCCAATGTATATGTACAAGCAAATAATTCTGCATACAAGCATAATGCAATATGTGACTCAATATAATACTTTTTCCGGTTCCAAATTTTCCATCTATTTAATATGTAAGGACTTCCTTATATTAATTGTTGTATAATGTTAATGCTCTTTTTTAACATAAAATATAACTATGAAAACAGTTTACTGGTGACAGAAAAACAAAGTATAGAAAAAACAGACCGATTCTATAATCTTGCAATATAAAACAAATAACTTCTATTTCCAAAAGGATACATAACACATATTTATTGACAGGTCTTGTATGGTCGGTTTGACTGAGATAAGACATAACTTCGATCGCAGGTTGCCTAATCAATATCCCACATTCTTGAAAAGTGGTGACTTGCTTCATAAATAAACGAGGCAAGCCACCATATTGAAAGAGTTGTTGCTGAACATCTTTTGACACTGTGTAAAGTCTAGCAATGTGATCTGTATTATGATTAACTGGATTGTTCTCCGTTGTGCGAAACAAACATGCTTGAGTTGCTTGCTCGTCCTTCACCTGAATAGCTGTACCGAATTTTCTACCATATGTTTTATATATTCCCCTTAAAAGCGAATCTGCAATCAGAACATTTGTTAAATCTTTGTGTCTCTTTAGAATACCTCCGACCAAACTCAAGTTAAAAATTACTCTTTGATTAACTGAATCAACAGAATTCTTTAGCCAAATTTCTGATTGTACAATTCATTCAATTCGTTGTCCTTAATCTAATCTTTCTTCTTATGTGCCACACAGCAACAAATTAATAATTCTGTAATCACACTAATAAAGTACTATGGATATCACTTAATAAGTTAATCGATTAAATCAATTTGAATTTGACAACTGTTATTCGTGATGACAAATGTCATCTTGCAGATTAACTTATTTCCGCTGTCATTAATTGCACAGAATTATAATCACATAAACAAAATTTACAAAAGAAAGAACAAGGTTACAGATATTACAAGTGTATGTAGAGTATTCTGTATTATTGATCGAACTAATATTAACAAATTAAAAGTCAACGTATAAAATCTTACATGAGCGTAAAGACATTGCGTTGCTTTTTTTCTCTTTCAGAACAAAGCACGTTTGACTGTAATTATCCCGAATCTTAGAAAAAATTTAATGTGTCCCACGACGTTATATATGCACATTTGACATAACCTCAAATGTACTCCAGTCTAGGGATGTTCGATTCAAGATCGATTTTTTAGAAAATCGATTCTCTTACCTTCGATTCTCGAATTTTTAGATCGATTCTTAAGCTCCGATTAAATCGACGAATCGATTCTTAAGACCCGAGATCGATCTTCTGTGTATGTACAGCTGGTCACTGAAAGGTTGCAACACTTTTTTTCCATGAGTTTCGGAATGCAGTTTGCTGACCGACCCTATAAGCGCATAATATTATTTAATATTAAATAATATTTTATGCATATTCTCAGAATATTAAATATAACATTTTAATAATATTTTACTAAAATTATATAATATTAAATAATATTCCTGAAATATTAATGGATGGTTATATGTCCACTCCTAATAATATTATATGATTATTAAAAGTAACATTT